TTATACAGGGAGAACTATGAAACACTAAAAAAAGAAATTGTAGAAGATGTAAGCAGATGGAAAAACCTACCTTGCTCATGGATTGGTAGAATCAACATCGTTAAAATGTCCTTTCCTTTCTAGTTCTTGTCAATCTAGCAAGAGGGCTGTCAATTTTGTTTACCTTTTCAAAAAACAACTTTTGGTTTTATTGATCTTTTGTATAATTCTTTAATTTTCAATTTCATTTAGTTCTCCTCTGATCTTAGTTATTTCTTTTCTTCAGCTAGGTTTAGATCAATTTGTTTTTCCTTTTCCAGTTCCTTGAGATGGTTTATGAGTTTGTTGATTTGTGAGCTTTCTGTCTTTTGGATTTGAGCATTTAATGCTATTAGTTTTCCTCTCAGGAATGCTTTTGCTGTATTCCACAGATTTTGATAACTTGTATCCCTGTTACCATTTAGTTCGAAGAATCTTTTTCTTTCCATCTGGATCTCCTATACAATGATTTTTTAAAAGTTAGATAATTCATTGGTGGAGAAGGAAATTAGAGAAATATATAGCACTAGAAGCCATGAATATGGAAATATACTATCTCCTTAATATTATCATACAATAATAAAACAAAGTCTGAAATGAAAGTGTAAATAATAACTGTCACTGCTAGGAAGACAGGCAACTTACAAACTATCTTATTTTGATGCAATCGAATAAAAATCACCATGTATTTGCATTTTTGAAATGTTTTACCTATTTTCAGACTTCTGTCATTCCAAAATATTGTTGAATATAATTACGTGCTAAGAACAATGTTAAATTTAGAGTTTAAAGTGAGGAAGAAGGACCCATGTTTCCTACCGCAGTAAGAAGGTAATGACCCTTCAGGATTATGCTGTCAGGTAGAAGATGCATGGGGCTCGCAAGCACCGACCCTACATCTTCACACCAACCTGCCCCAGCCCCTCTGTCCTGCAACCCTGAGATGATTTGAATCCAATACAAGACCAAACAAATCTCAAATACATACCTT